AAATGCTTGTATTTCTGTTCGGTGTTTGCGGATCTTGAACACTCTGTCAAGCCTTTATCTAAGAGCATCTTCAGGATATCAACCCCTTCTTGCAAAGCTGAATCGATCTGGTGCAAGCAACAACACGTTAAATTCCCATACAATTAAAAAAGTAAAAGCTATAAAAAAAATCTAAATTGTTGTTAGAAGCTCGCTAAAGACTATTGGTAGATTAGTTTGAGCAAGAATAATTAATTATTGGATGTAAACAAGGAAAGATTAGATCATCCTTGCTTCCAAGCACATTTTTTGTTATTTCATGTCCTTTGCAATGGAAACTGATGAAGCTGCTACTTAAGCGTTGATATTATATAAGATTGCTAAATTTTGTTTAATTGATGAACATGCAACACATCCTTAAAAAACCAAGTAAAGAGAAATCTCTCGGCTGCGATATTGAGTTCATTCAAGCTCATCAATGAAGATATATGGACAAAGTTAACATCAAAATAACAGAATGATGCAATGTGGTTTTTAACAGAGTCCAGCTGCATATCTGCACTTACCCTTTCACGAGCTATTTTGTTGAATTTCTGAAGCAGGAAAGCCTTTGGATCCATCTGACCTGGGGGTCTTCCTATGCCTTGAATCAACAGAAAAAAAGTGAGCTTATGGATGTCGAAGCACAAATATTTTAATAGGATTAAGGTTGCACAGAAGTAGATACTGACCAATTCTAAATCGACCAAATTCTCTGTTTCCTCGAAAGTGATAAATTACACTCTTTAACCTGAGAAAGAAGCAATCCAGATTTAAAAATATAATTAAAAAAATGCCTAATACATATTACGCCTAGTTCAATTTTCCCACTGATGGTTCCTGAGTAATTTACAACACAAACTCCTTTAGGCGTGCTTTTAAAAAATCAAGCTAGATACAACACAACATCACCAAGTTAGTTAGGTTTCTAATTATGATGGGCACAAACTTAAGGTGTTATTTTACCCATTGACCTTGTAGCTCAACGTAATGTCTTCCACGCTGCCCGAGGAGTTTAATCGTGAAAGATTGATTAATAGGCAGATGCACATAGTGGAAAATTTGTCCCCTTGCCAGGTGAATTTTATCTTATATAAGATGTTTGGTTATGTTATTCTCGAAATCTAAAGAGAATTAGGATGAGTATGTACTTCAATTTTGGTCAATTGCTCGGAATAATTATTGACAGGTTTAGTTTGTGTATGAAGTAATTACCTCTGGCAAGTTTTTGTTATCTGAACTTAGGTTGTGTCGAACAAAAGGATTTAGAGTGAATAACTAGAAAGAAAGATGCAGTGAACACTAACTTGTACATCATCATCAACACAGTCATGGATGCCTCAATAGAATATAGACAACCATAATATGATAACAAGTTGCGTTTGTGTTAGAAAATTCAATTTTCTGAAGTAGTAAATTATGATCATCATTTGATGTTCCTCTTACTGGAACGAGGGTAGTTAAGCTTTTCCATTGGAATGTATTGGTTAGAGAGCATGACTCCTGTGATGTTAATACTTAAAAGAGTCATTAATTTTCCTACTTTAGTTTCGCAAATCATGCCTTCCACACTCTCATACCCTTTATGATGTGCATGCCCACCTTGGGGTTGTATCCGAAGGACTCCACATGGCAAGTCCATATCATCATACATCTGCATACACAATTCATAAATTACGTTACTTTTCGTGCTCCAGTTGCAGTATTACTGATATTGATAATAAAGCTAAATGATACACATACCACAATGATACGGTTCAGTGGTAGTTTGTAATAGGCTGCAAGTGGCCCAGTCTACGATCAAAAGAAAACATAGTTATTTCATGGTGTCTCTTATCAGTAAATGCTGATTAAGTAAGCTTTCCAAGAACTTCTTGTTTAGTTATTAAAGATTATGATTGTTCACCAGCTAGTCCAGTTTTACTGGGTTGAAAAGAAGATAATAAAAACTTATACCCAAGTCTCTACTCGATTGTCTGGTCATAGTTAAAATGTTTATTCAAAGTGATAAGTTAAATAGCCATGAGTTCTGGCTCAGTCGACAAAAAATTAACAAGTTCAATAGTGCTTTACACTTTACATGGCAGTCCCTTTTCAGATTAGATTCATGTCCTGAATACTTTCTACCTTAAAAGTGATAAAATGCAGGCTAAAGCTTTCTTCATATGCGCAATTCCCCACATTAGCTTCATGTCCGGTCAAAGTTGGTAACTTCACAATTCTTAGAATCAAGGATACATGGAATTCATGAATTTCATTTCATTACGTGAATAACATCAGAACTGACTAACTGGGGTGATCAAAGCAACATCGGTCCATTACTGCAAAATTGAGTCACCAGGATCCCATCTTTGTTGGTTCATGACATATACATCTGTTAATTTTCTACTGAAAACTACTCTCTTTTTCCCCCCTTGAACTTCACAATCATATTTTCATGGCCATTTTAAGTCCTCAGACCCCAACTTTTCTTAACCCTGGTAAGAAGTTGACTTGATCTAACTTTGATTACCTACAACCTTTTCCTTAAGATTACCCTTTCCATTTGATAAAACTATCAAACCAATGCAAGATCAAGAAGAAAATACAAAAATAAGAAAAGAAAAGATCATGCAAAATCTGGAGACTATCTGAACTTTGTTTATTCAAAAAGGACACTGTGGGAATATGTGAATACTTCATAAATACTACACTCTGGGGACTATTTGAACTTTGTTTATTCAATATAGTGTGAGATATTGCATGTTTATATTTGCGTGGTGGGATAGCTTCAGTTAAATAGTGATGTATAAACTCTTGGATATTTATGTCGATTATATGTTGATTGTTTGTTTGAAGGAATGTCTTCTGCGTCTCTAAACTGTCTCATATCCTGATCTGACTATTCTTCTGTCAAGTTTGCATCGGTAAGAAAACATATCTATTTGGAATGAAAGTAGACGTGCTAGAATTCAAGTTGGTAATCGCTAGCGGCGGTGAGTAGTGCAGTACGACCTTGCTGATTTTTTTTTATTTTTTTGCATATTGAGAACTTTTGCTTACTGACGAGATACATGACAATGTTAAAGATCAGGCTATTTCTTGTACTGATGAAAGCTGATAAATCTTCAGAAAATTAGCTTTTCATGCGAGTCCCTGACTTTTCATACTAGTACATTACACTTAAAAATAATGTATTATTAGATTCAGTAAGTATATATATATACACACACGCGCACATGCATACATACACATGTAAGATCGCATCATTTGTTGCATTCCTGTCATGAACTAATCTAGAGTAGCAGGTTTCAGAACAGACGTATCCCAAGGATAAATGCGCAAAGTGAAGAATGGGAGAAGCTCTTCCTATTTGAATTCAAATTCGAACTCTACCTATAGCTAATAGCTTGGGCATCATTTAAACTAAAGCATCCAAAGTCTGCCGACGAGAGCTTTTCATAGTCCTTTCCACTCCCCTAACCATACTATGAGATACATTCCAGTTCTTAAATCCAACTTTTCCTAACCCTGGCATGATGTTAGAAAGATCTTTTATTGACTTCACCTCAAAATTCCCTCAAGAATATCATTCCTGTTTCGATGATACGTATCAAGAGCAATACCGCGTAAACGAGCTTGAGAAAGAATTAGTCACGCCACATACAACTAAAGCCTGATTAAGTACTTCCTATTCTTTGTTCACGGCAACAATCTACCTTCAAATTATTTCTGACACAGCCATCAGAGCTATGAAACTACCAATCGATGTGAGTAATTCTAATAGGCCGGGCTATATTTATAATAAAATTTAACTTCAACTATCCATATAGATTTATTTTTGCAAACCCCTTTAACAGAAACTCTCTCCAAATTCAACTTAAAAGACAATTTCCATTATATCACGAAAGATTTATCAAAAGAAAATTAAAAAAAGGAGCTATCTTTCTGTCCCTTACAGATTCACCACTGAGATTCATGTACGTCTGAGGCTTTGCAAGCAGAACTGGTGTTTCCCCAACCATTCCTAAATTAAAAAAAAAACAAAATAAATTAGAATAAATAATAAATTGCAAATGGAATGAAAAAAAATGATAATCTAACCTTCGCCAAAGAGGGCTTTGCAGTGGACGGAGCTCATGGGTATGCCTTGGGACTCAGCAAAAACGTCGATCATATCGAACCCAACCTGGGAAAAATTATAATTTTTAGAGAAAATAAGAAGAAAAGAGAAATTTCAGGGACTTTTTTTTTCTTTTTCCTCTCGCTTACATTGTGTCTTGTAGACTTGTATTTGTCTCCTGGGTTCCCGAGACCTATCAAAAGCCATGGCTTTATAATATTGTTGGTATTGTTGGGAGAAGAGGAAGAAGAAAGCAAACGCTTGAAGAGATGATTGCTGCCAGATAGCATCGGACTCCAGAAAAAAAAAAGGAAGGAAAAAGAGAGGAAAAAAAAAGAATGTGAGAGCTTGATTGAGTGATGAAGAAGGTGTTGAAATTTAGAGGCATGGTATTGGTACCTCACAAGGTTTGGTTCGGGTTGGGCCTACGGATTACTCGAACCCATTTCCTACCCTGGTTTTTATTTTTCCATTTTTAAATTTATCTAGAAACATCAACCGTTTTTTAAAAAAAAATCAGTAAAACCGATCCTTTTCAGATAAAAAGGATCGGTTTTGCTGCGAAAGAGTTTTCCGAACTACACGGGACTACTAGTCCCGTGTAGTTCGGGCATCCTAATCTATGATTAGCATTTGCTAAACTAAAATGCATGGGACTAGCAGCTCCGTGCATTTCGTTTTCTTTTCAAAACTATCTGTTTAAAAGTCGGGACTATCAGTCCCGAGTTTTAGGTAGAGACATTTTCGGACAGAAAACAAAGAGCACATGACTGCTAGTCCCGTGCTTTTTGTGGACAGAAAATGAAATGCACGGGAGTAGTAGTCCCGTGCATATCCTGTGCACATTACATGTGCATGTTAATTTTCTATTGCATTTCCTGTCAATTCCATGTATAAACTTAAATGCAACTCATATAACACCATAAACTCATTTACAAATCTAAAAATCATAAATTACAACACAAACTCATTTACAAATCCAACAAATCACACCACAAACTCATTTACAAATCCAACAAATCACACCACAAACCCACTTACAAATCAAACAAATCACACCACAGTCTCGGCTACAAATCCAAAAACCATCTTACATCCCAAAATAGGTTTGTAAATGTACATCCCAAAATAGGTTTGTAATGTACATACCAAAATAGGTTTGTAATGTATATAACAATAATGATTAGTTTACATACATCCAAAAACTCTTCTCCTCCTCCTTTTTCGTCCTCCTCCATCCCGACTTTCGACGAGTTCGTGATCCGGTTGTGTTTGTGGTTGGGACGACCCAGCTCCATCATCAACACGTTGGGAAAGTCCAGCTTCATTGTTGTTTCTGCGTCATCCTCGACTTTGTCATGGTTGACGTGTGTACACGAATTGCGTTGCTTCTCGTCCATCATGAAGATCTTTGTAAGTTCGGTGTAAGTATTGGTGAAGCCTACGTATTATTGACGGATATATTGATACATGTTTCTGTGCTTCGGGATATGTACATGTGAGAGATAATTCAAAAAACCCGAAATAGAAAAATTACTTTAAAATTCAAATTACAGAATGTAAATTTGATATTTAATTCTATATTACCTGCTCGAGCCAATTCTATGTCACGATTTGCAATGGTTTGAACATCATCTATTGATGATACCTGTAAATTTTTTTCAAAAAATACATGTTGAAAATATTGAGAAATACCAATAAAAATGGACTTAAATCAAAATCTGAAAATACTTACTATTTCTTTCTCATCTATACCCCAGGGCACATATCCTTTTTGCAACTCAACCGGTGGTGTGGTCGCATGGAGTATCCATCTTCGGGTTATCCGCTAATACCAAGTGTAGTAATCTAATTCCCGGGGAGTTGGTTCAATTTGCTCAAAAATAAAGAAATATCTATCATTCCATCTATGTATATAATCTCGATGCTCAGCTGCCCAGTCATTTTGTTGGCCTCCTTTCTTTGCATTCCTCTCTATTTTTTTAACAAATTCTGGAACATGTTGTGCAAGACCAAATTGTTGAAGCACGCGGTCCAGTACATGCATTTCTACATCTCAAAATATATAAGAGGAACTCTGGCTCTCTATGTAACTAGGTATTCTATGCATACCGCGGGTAGATGATTGAGAAATTGGGTGTAGGGCCCCTATTCCATCTACAGAGTATTTCATATAATTGTTGCATATCATTAAAAACTAAATTTGATATATAGAAGTAAAAGCTCATTTTTATAGAAATGATACCTAAAAAATCTTCATACAGTCAAGCTCATTTCGGTAGAAATCTAATTATCTAATCGGGGTCTTAACATTTTTGGACATTTTATCTGTATTGTTTTTAAAATTTAGTACCACAATGATAACTACAATTATATTTGCTATAATAAAAAATATAATACCTGTATCCCAGTGGAATTTGTCTATCTAATTGTAAATTCACGCATAGTCTCGGCTTCAAATGAAGTCTCTCCTATGCACATACTTGTAGTAAGCTTAGACACCCTTTAAAGTCACTGTTTTTTATGAATGCTACTTTGGACATCTCTCTATATAGGTACGCCAAAACGGTACTACCCCACGATAACGCACCACATATGTCCAAGTCTTTGAGGAGTAGTAACCACCTAGCATATTCACAACATTTCAATTTATTAAAATAAGCTAATTCAATGAAATACAGATTCAAATTACAAATACACATACCTTGCATGCACTTTATTTTTACTCGAATCTGGAAATAATATTGAACCGATCATGTGTATAATGTATGCACGTGCATGTTGCTCAATCAATATTTGTGGTGCATCAATAGACAACGGCACTGAGAATGTCCCTTTCAACCACTTCAATTTTATATTTCCTCTAGGCATTGACTCTGGAGCTACACCTAACAACTCCTCACACTTGGTCGGTCATACAACTCTACCACTACCGGTAACGCAAGGACCATCTATGCGGAGACCGAGTATCAAGGCTACATCCTGTAGAGTAGTGGTAGATTCTCCCATTCGAAAGTGAAAAATATTAGTCTCCGGTCTCCATCTATCTACCAAAGCGGTGAGTAGGGGCCAATCAAGCTTCATCCAACAAAGCTTTGAACATGTCAAGAAACCGGCCCGTCCTACAGCTGCTATGATACGTTCATCCTCTAGACGCCAACGGCTATGGTCAAGGCTATGATCAACTATAATGATATACGAGCCTCTCTGTAGAGCAAATGAAAGTATAAGAATACAATATTACAGTGATAACAATATGTAATTATAAGAAACTTAATTACCTCTGTAAAGGATATAATATGTGAACGATGTCGAGGTTGATCATATAGGACCTCATCACTAACCGACTCAGGTTGCATGGTGTAGATACCTGCACATACAATTATACACATATCAATAACCGATCAAATACTAATTACAGTTTCTTTATTAAAATATATCAAAATTTGAACATGTCAATTATTACCAATTAGTTGCTTTCTATTGGGTCTAGCTGGACAACGAGGTTGAGTATGCCCCGGTTGTTTGCAAAGACTATATTTTTTATGCTTGACAACTCCTTCTCGCCCTTAATCTATGATTCCCCTAATTCGCATAGATCGCGGTCGACCTGCTTGTCTCTTGTATCGAGGTGGAATTTGACATGATCCATTATATTCGGGCTAATACCGACTATCATCGGGTGGATGAAAACTCTTACTATATATTTTTCGGTAGTGAATTGTTAAATACTACGATGAACAATACCGATTATATAGAATTCTAGCACCTCCCAGCTGACTGATTGGAAGAAGCCACAAGAACATGTGCACAAGGTATTTTTTGGAGTTGTGGTATATTACATGTGCAAGTGCAATCAACACAAATAGTTTAACGGTGTAGATACCGTCATAATCCTGTATCTACCATTCATTGTCATTGAATACAGTAATTTGACATAATCTTGGCACCTCAATTCTTCTATGAAAAATGGAATCATTTTTTGGTGTATAACACGTTGTCCAGTCTATGCTATCATCACACTTTTTGTTGAAGTATGCGTTTAGCCTATAGAATATTCTCGTAACCAATGATTATCTTATCATAGCTCAAGCTCCTTTAAGAACGTCGTTAAAGCTCTCGGAGCAATTAGTTATCATCATGCAAAACCGCACACCCTCATCCTTACATAATGCCCATCGATGCTCGAATTAAGGCTTCAAGTTATTTTCAATCCAAGTATGTGCATCTAATAATAAAGACTTGATTTTCTTCCGACAATGTTAATACACTAATGTGTCGGTTGCATACCCAGCTTGCCACAAAAGATTTTGTAAATTAATTTCACCGTGTTTTTTCTTGAAATTATCTCTTATATGTCTTAAACAATATCGTTGGTGATGTGGTGCACCAAAACCCTCATGTAACACCCTTATAATTCCTTTCATCCTATCCGAGATACTTCTTAATGAACAACTCAATTGGTACTTGCTTTTTGACTCATTGTTTCATGTCATTCAATTCCTCATCGTCGGTAATCTCTACGACAATAGTTCTATTCTCATTTATCAAACAGTTGAAGAACACCTTAATTACATGCTCTACTTTATTAATTTTAGTAACTCTGTGTATTTCCTTCATTATTCTATCAAAATTATATGACTTAGATAGCATAAACATTTTTCTAGAACCTTCCTCATACATAGGCATACTATTCACTCCGACGTCGAGGCTCCCATTGAAGAAACAAATAATGGGTATAGAGTTTACCATCGAAACTAAAAATCAACAGTCCATCATATGTAAATAATCTATTATAACTAAAAATATTAATCTTAATTTAAAATCAAATTTAAAACCTTAATCTTAACTAAAAAGCAAATAATGGCTAAACCCTAACTCCCAAATCACATTATTCATCATATTTCATAAAATAAAAACTAAAAAATTTCATATCCAAAATCATAAACCCTAATCAATCCATATCATTCATCAAAACCCTAATACTACCCAATTCATATCCCTCATCAAAATTAACAACAAAATAAAAAAAATTAACCTTGATCAGAGCTTGGTGGATGTGGTCGGCAGCGGCGGTGGTCACGAGCTTGGTCGTAGGTGGCGGCGGTATTGGTCACGGTTTGGTCAGAGCGGCGACGTGTCACAGATCTGGGGTGAGCGTGGTCGACGGGAGGCGATTCTGTTGTGGGGTCGGTGGAGTCGGCCGGATCAGCAGAGTCGCTAGAAGGAGGTGTTAAAGGCGAGTCGCAGTTTGAGGGGGGGGGGGGTCAGTCACGGGTGCAGCAAATGAGGGGGTCACGGGTTAGGTATTTAAAAGGTAATAAAAATGGACAGGAATTGCTAGTCCCATCCATTGACATGCTAA